CAGACTATATGGGGAGGAGAGAACAAAAAAAATGACCAATGGCTTATAAATGGTCCTTAGATGGAAAATCGACCTATGGCTTAAATAACACCCGTTGGATTGGAAAAACGATCAACAGCTTGAAGATGTCTTAAGACAAACACCACAAGTCTTAAACAACTATGTCTTTGTGACAACAACAAGACTTAAAGTAGACAAAGTCTATGAGTTGGATGGGTTGGTGTACTATTTGTTGGATGGAAAAAAAAACGACCAACAGCTGAATTAAGCTGTAAGACAATGTCTGAAACAAAAGTCTCGACACAAAAGATAATATGGGGTTTGCTTAGAAAAGGGTCCTTGGTGGAATAAAAAAGTTCAAACGGCTTAGAGAAAGTCTCTTGACAAAGACAAAAGGGGTCAGTTTTTAGAATGCTGGATGGAAACAAAATGACCAGTGGCTCAGACAAAGACAGACAAAAGAAGACTTGTTGGATGGATTAAAAACGACCAATGGTTTGGATAAGTCTTGAAACAAAGACTATGACCACATGGTGACAAAAACTATGTTTGCTTGATAAAAACAAGGCTTAAAAGTATACAAAAGAGTATGAGTTGGATGGGTGTAATGACCAACTCTTATGACAAAAATGGGAAGAATGACAAATGATCTTAAATCAGTCTTAACATAAAGACTTGATCGAAAACAGTTTCTGCTTTCTAAAATATCTAGACAAAGACTATGGGTTGGTATGAACCACATCCTTACAAAAAAAAGGTCTTTAGACGAAGGAAATCGCTTGGTTTACTTATTTGTTGGATGGAAAACATGACGACCAAACTTGACTACGTCTGAAAAAGCTCTCAAGACAAGTACTATGAGTTGGTTCGTAATTTTGTGGATGGAAAGAATGAACAATTGTCCTTAAGGCATAGCTGATACAAACACAAGGATTATAACATAGGCTGCCTACGGCCTAACGAATCATAGCACACAGATTCTAAACAAGGATTATGAATCCAAAAGCGATTCTTTACTCCAGACAAAGACAATATGGGTCCGTTTTTAGATATGATGGATGGAAACATTGACCAAAAGGCTTAAATGCCTATTTTATGTCATTATATATATGAAAACGATAATGGCTGAGAGAATACTTGTTGGATGAAGAAAATAACAACAGCTTTTAAAAAGTCACAAGACAGAGTACATGAACCAAAAGGCTTAAAGACCTATTTTTGATAACCCACAAGGCTTAAATCAGTCTTAAGACAGATATGAAATGAAAACTACCACAACTTTGTGGAAAGTCTCTAAACAAAGACAACCCACAGCTTAGAATTGTCCAACAGCTTAGAAAGGTTATTCGAGAAAGACTTGCATCCAATCTAGACTTGTTGGATGGTAAAACAGCTTACACTTGCTGTATAAAATGATACCCAAATGGCTAAAGAAACCAACTGCTTTGAGATTCTTGACAATGATTATGAATCAAACACAGATTCTTATTTAACCACACACGGCTTAGACGTCTCTTGAAAAGGAAAGCCTATTCCCCGACTTGTTGGGTGATAGAAAGCAACTAAAGACTTGTTGTATTGATAAAAGACAGACGGCTTTAAAAATTCATGAGACAAATCTTCTTGGGAATATGAATCAACAACAGGTCACATACATGGCTTAGGAGTCTTCTGAAAAAAAAAAACTTGGTTTTGGTATTAATAACCAACAGCTTTAAAATGTCTCACGACAAAGACTATAACATTAAATCCCTCATGCCAGAGTCTGAAATTATGGATGGAGAACTGATTCTTTACTCTGGCAGACAACTTCAAATAGAAAGTCTCAACACACAAACTATGAACCATAAGGTTTAAAGAGTTGTTTCTGCTTGATATTCACTAGGCCTTATAAAGTATACAAAGACTATTAAGTTGGATGGAAATAATAACCGACTCATACTCTGAAATCAGTCTTAAACAGGGACTACCAAATGGCTTAAAGAATCATAACGCAAAGATNCAGACAACTTCAAATAGAAAGTCTCAACACACAAACTATGAACCATAAGGTTTAAAGAGTTGTTTCTGCTTGATATTCACTAGGCCTTATAAAGTATACAAAGACTATTAAGTTGGATGGAAATAATAACCGACTCATACTCTGAAATCAGTCTTAAACAGGGACTACCAAATGGCTTAAAGAATCATAACGCAAAGATTATGAATCTATAAAAGAGATTCTTAAATAAGACTGACTTGTAGGATGGGAAAAGACAACCTATCGCATAAAAATGTCTTAAGAAAAGACTCTAAAAATGCCCTTGGATGGGGGGGGTGGGGAACGGTTAATGGCTTAAGACTTGTTTGATGGGGAAAAAACACACAACCAATGGATTAATGAAATAACCAACCCATGGGTTAGAAAAGTCATTGGCTTGGTTACACTTTGTTGGATGAGAAAAACAACCAACCAACACCTTAAGACAAAGTATGAAAAATAATGACCAACTCATACTCTGAAATCAGCCTTAAACAGGAACTACCAATGTCTTAAAGAATCATCATAACGCAAAGATTATGAATCTAAGCGAAACGACCAACAGCTTAAGAAAAAGTACGAAAAAGCTTTTTAGACAAAGACCGTGTCTGAAATCAGTCTTAGGACATTGGAAAGTCCCACAGATTACGAAAGAGTCTTTTGACAAAGACTACCAACGGCTTAAAGATGTCTTAAGACAAAGATTCTTAACAAGGATCAAGATATTCTTACTTAATAGCTTAAATAAGGCTTGTTTAATGGGGAGAAAAAAACAACCAACGGCTTAAAGATGTCTTAAGACAGTCTCTGAGATGTCCTTAGATGGATAACATGACTAATGGCTTAAGTTAAACTTGTTGGATGGGAAAAAAAAAACGACCAACATCTTAAAAGATCTCTTAAGTCACAAAAAAAAATCTGAACTGAGAACTGTCTTAGCGAAAGTGTAGAACGACCAATTAGAGAACTAGCGCCTAAGAAAGGGACGGCTTAAGTCCATCACCATCTTAAAATAGGCTTAAGCCAGACAATATAGGTTGGTTTGTGGACATGATGAACGGAAACAATGACTACCTGAACTTGTTGGATGGATAAAACGACAACCAGTTTGAAAAGTTCCCAAGAAAAAGACTATGGACCACAAGGCTTAAAGACCTGTTTCTGTTTTGATAACCACAAGACTTAAAAGTAGACAAAAACAGTCTCTAGACAAAGACTATCGACCACAAGGCTTAAAGACCTGTTTGAAAAGGTCCCAAGACAAAGACTATCGGATATCAGTCTTAATACAGAGCTTAAACAAAAAAGTCCATGGCTGAATGTCTCTAGACAAAGACAACCTACGGCTTCGAAATGTCCCACAGATTAGAAAAGTCTTTCGAGAACGACCATGGATCACTTTTGACTGGTTTGAAATGTCCCACAGCTGAGAAAAATCTTTCGGTTGACATTTTGGTGGGTGGAAAGGGTGACCAATGTCTTAAGTAAAGACTAATCAGTTCTGATTTGTTTCCAGGTACATGCTTCAGAAGGTGTTCAAAACTTTAGAGATAGTGGGAAGATTTCAAGTGTAGCAGACTTCTGTGACAGGTATGTGCTTTACAAACTTGCTTTTAATTAGTTTCGGAAATAACAAGTATGAGAAGCATATGTGAAATCTAGATTAATTTCAGTTCCACTAGACATGTGCTTGAATAAGCATCCAAATCCTTAAGATATTTATGTGTTAGCCTTTATACTTATGGACAGCTTGAAGTATAAAGGCCAACATTGATTTCTAAGTATGTACTTCTCTCATGGACGCATAAAAAGATTTTTCTAACGTTTATAAATCATTGGCGAAGTATGGATTTAGTACCTCTCTATATTGTATAAATTTGCATTTGAATCAATGTTGCTCATATAAAGCCTTGTAATTTTTCAGAGTAACCACGTCTCTGTTTCGTAAAAGAAAACATTGGTGACTTGAAATTCTACAGGTTAGTAGTTTCCTTTCACGTTGCTGTTTTCATTCTCCAACTTCCAAGTCTGGTTTTGGTGTTGCCTTACCGATTTATTTTGATCTTGTAAGTAAGTCTATTTGCTTCTGTATCAACCGATTTCAAATCCTAATGTGGTGTATCTCAAACCTACAAACATGGGTTCTGCACAATCACTTAAAATGGTAAAACATACACACATAAATACATACATGCATCGTACATACTTGCATACTGTATACATTCATAATTGCTCCCATTCTTTCACTGTTTACTTGCTTCATTTTTTGTTTGATTCTTTTGCTAATTTACTTGCTTGCTTTCTTGATGTCATGTTTCTTTGTTGACTTCCTTGATTCATTGATTCACTTTTGTACTTCCTTTATCGATTCGTTGTTTATTTGGTCGTTGTGTGCTTACTTCTTTCTTTGTGTGTGTGTTTCTCTTGATTCCTTAGAGCATGATTAATGATGATCTCTTAACGGGAGTTTTTAACTTATATTTGACCTTCTTTTCTTTTTACATTTTTATTAAAAAATGACTTATTTTTTATTTATGAGACGGTTATTACATTTTTTTAGTTAAAATCTAAAAAAAACTAAGAACCGTCTCTTAGTCAAGTTAAGAACCCTAGTTAAGAGATTAGGATTAATCATGGTCTTATTGCTTTTTTCTGTAGTTTGTGAATTGCAAAAATTATAAAAAAAAAAAATCAGTTTCTACATAAAACTTCAGTTTTTGACTAAAAAAGAAAATATATTGAGCTTAACTTGATTAAAAACAAAACTTTTCAATTGCTAACCGCATTGGTTTAGATGATTAACATTCTTTTATTTCAAATAAAAATAAAAGAGCATGCAGTTTAATTATAAAAAAGTAACGGCATGCAGTCTGAATATTTCCAAATCACTACGTATCACGATCAGTCACATGTTCTCAATCAAATACTATAAAAGATGCCAAAACAACTACGCACGAAGAACGGGTCTCAAGCTCTCCGACAAGACATGCACACCACACATTTCTTTAGACTACTCCCCCGTATATAATAAAATCCACCATTTCCAAAAACCTTCTCAATTTTCTTATTTACTCAAAAAAACCATGAGACCTGCGCAAGACAACCAAGGATCCTTCCTCGGCCGGATCAGTATCCGTCGCAACCAATTCACCGACGTCAACACCGAACAAGAGCAAGAAGACCTCGAGCTTTTCCAAAAACACATCGCCGATCGTTTCACCGAGCTTCTCTCTCCTCCTCCTCAACCACCCTCCGATGAAACCGACTCGGTCGCCTCCGTAGCCGCGACGGAGCAGATCATGTCCGTGACTTGGCTCCGCAAGCTCATGGACGTCTTCCTCTGCTGCGAAGCCGAATTCAAAGCGATTCTCTTAATGGGCCGTGACCCAACCCAAATCTCCAAACCCCCTTTCGACCGGTTAGTTCCCGAAATGTTGGACCGGTCCATTAAAGCCCTCGACATCTGTACCGCGGTAGTTAACGGAATCGACTCCGTTAGACATTACCAGCGCCTAGCCGAGATAGCCGTGGCCGCACTGGAGCAACGTCCGTTAGGAGACGGTAACGTGAGGAGAGCGAAACGCGCGCTCGCGAATCTGCTCATCGCGTTGAGCCTCGAGGACAAAGAGAACGTGACCGGAGGGAACAAGGCGATAGAGAGATCGTGGTCGTTCGGCCGCCGCGGCGGTGGTTCGTCGGCGGCGAGTAAAGGAGGAGCCACGATCGGTCAGCTTAAATCGTCTTCCTGGGCCGTGGGGAGGAACTGGTCCGCGGCGAAACAGATCCACGCGATGACGACGAATCTAACGCCGCCACGTGGCAACGAGGCCGCGGGGTTGCCTTTACCGATGTTTATAATGAGTACAGTAACGGTTTTCGTGATGTGGGTGTTAACAGCTGCGGTTCCGTGTCAGGAGAGAGCTGGCTTAGCGAACCACTTGCCCGTGCCGAAACATTTGAACTGGGCGCAGAGTTTGGTCGGAATACACGAGAAGATTGGGGACGAGTGGAAGAAGAAGGAGAAGAAAGGTTCCGCGGGGTTGATGGAGGAGATGACGAGGATGGAGAAGCTTGGTCACTCGTTGATTGAATTTGCTGATGGGTTTCATTATCCGGCGGAGAAAGAGGCTGCTGAATCCGCGGCGGCGCAGGTGGCGGAGATGGCGGAGATATGCAGGAGGATGGAGGAGGAGCTTGTGCCGTTGCAGCAACAGATCAGAGAGGTTTTCCATAGGATCGTGAGGAGTCGTGCGGAGATTCTGGAGGTGTTGGAGCAAGCCGGGAAGCTTTCAGCGCCAGTTGTGTAAAGATTTTAAAATGTGGGTGTGACATTTCAAAATTTTGTATTTTGTTGGGGTTGATAAGATATTTATTTTCTTAGTTCCGTTTTGTCATTTTTTGGTCATGGTTTGGGTTTCACCGAATGAACGATATCATTTATGTCGTTACTTCTTCTATTTTTTTAACTTCTTTACTTCCTCTTCTATATAGATTTTGCTTAGTATTTTTTTTGTTAACTAGCTTAATGCATAATATCCAAAACCAACTGGATATGTTAACCAATTCGGTTTATGAACATTCTAAATGAAGAAGGAAAAACATAAGGACATTTTTGGCATGGTCGATCGATGATATAACTAATAGTATATCTAAAACTAAAACATAAATAGCCTAGCTAAGTAGATATGTTTGCAATATTGATTGAACCGAATTTTGTATTGCTGACAGAGAAGCGTCGAATATGGTCTACATCTTGTTAGCTCTGGAAGCTAACAAGATGTAGAATTTGATCATGAAATTAATCATATAGGTATCTAAAGTAAAACATGATAACCAAAACGCGAATATTGATTGTAGAATTTGATCATGAAATTAATCATATAGGTATCTAAAGTAAAAGATGATAACCAAAACGCTTAAAACACATTCTAATTAGTGATATAAACTAAATGAAAGAACATAACATAAAACATGCATTAGAGGATCATAATTGAATCATGGAAACATTGTGTAACATCTATGACTTGTTACTCAATTTTTAAAAGAACACAATAATTGTTGACTTTGACGACCAAATTTCTGATTTCTCCATGTAAACTCTTCAATTTTCTTCTGGTTAGCTTCCAGAGCTAACTTGTTTGAATTGATACTTGGATTCTGATTTTTTATAATTTACTCAAACAAAAAAAAAATTGTTTTCTTGGATTCCATTTGTTTATGATTTTCAAGACTTATACTGTTAAAGAATTTGATTTTAGTTTAACAGTTAAAACTAGATTCTGACCCGTCCTTTAAATGGCGGATATATTTTTTGTTTTACATATTCCTTTAGAAATTTAATTTTTATATATTTTTTTGTAAGCATATTTGAACACAATATTTTTTAAAAATTTTATTAGTAAGAAGTTTTGATAATTGTATTAAATCTATGATGTTATATAACTATGTACTTGTGCTGTAGTCATTTCACATGTAATTTATTTCTAGGCAATTATTATTTTTAAATAACAAAAGTATTTTTGCAATTTTTTTAGCAAGCATACTAATTAAATAGATGAAATTATATATTTTTCATTAAATTTTCATGATTTGATTTTAATATATAATGATAATAACATTATTACTATACATAATAATTTGTCATGCAATTAAAAATATGTTTTCTAAAATTTTGATCCAATGTAAATAAAATGTCCCATTTTATTATGTCATCTTATGCCATGGGTGTCTTTTACACTTGATTTGAGCTTGTTTGAAATTTTAGTTGGTTAATTGTTTTTTATTTGAAAGATTAGTTTGTTGTTATTATTGTATATGGTTTCAAATCACCAGGCTTTCTTCAAACGATATACCTTGTTCATTGTTATTATAGTATATGGTTTTCTTAGTTATGACTCATGTGCTTAGAAATATAACATTATATAATTATTAATTTGAGATGATAGAAGAATATATAATCATCGCACGAAAAAAATAAAAATAATTTTTATAGGCATAATTGTGCTCACATATAAGAATTATTAAAGAAGTGGTTTCTATAATTGTAGAAGAAAACATAGTATATAAATGAAAAGTAATAATGATTGTGTAAAATATTTGATATTTGTTGGTAAATATATTGGATTAAATTTTTATCAATAGGTCATGTTCTTGTTTTAATATAATAGATTGTTTGTAAAATAAGAAGATGCTAATTTTCTTTATTTTGTTTTGCTAAATATTTTTAACAAATTTTCTAATGCTTAATTTTGTATTTGTGTCAAGACTTTGAATTTAACTAAGTAGGTTAAAAAGGACGAATTATTTTGTGCATTATTTTGTATAAAAACACTTAATGTGGACAGTTATATTCATAATTATATATTTAAAAGGTAGTAATTAATTTTTATAAGAAACAAATGTTTGTAATAATATATTTTAAATATTGAGATTTAGAAGTACATCATATTCTTACAGACGTTCAAAGGTTTATCCTTTGATAAATAATTCTATTGAAAGTGGGGTTTTATAAACGGGGTTTTGATGATGGAGACACTATTTATAATTTTCAGAGTGCAATGTATGGATTAAAATCACTATTACATGTTGAAGCCCAATAATATTTGTTAAGAAGATGGTCGATTTATATAAACCTTCAAAAGAATGTAAATTTTAAAAAATAACTGTCGTCATATAATGAATTTTGAGAGAAGTGAGTTCCGATAATAGGGGAGTAATGTCTTGTGTATTATTATAACGTATAACAAATGTATTCTAGCTTTATTTTGATAAGTGAGTTTAGTGGCAAATAAAAGTAATATTCCAAGTAGTTGCGAGGGTAAAAGATAAGGATGATTTTAAATTAATAGTATTGATTTCTAAATTCACTCCTCTTATTTTTTTTCCTTCTTCACTTATGTGGATGGTCGTTGAAGAATAAATACTGTGTCGATTTCGTTAAAACGTTTATTAAAGTAAACATACTCTCTAAGAGTTAATTTACCGGAACCTTTTTATAGTAATCGAAGAAATCCATCCACTTCTCTGACTTGAGTGATTTGCGGATATGCATCCACCAAAACACACAAATCTAATAACTACATAAACTGAATCTATGAAAAGCAAGCTGCATTTAGCAAAACTCTATCATATCAGATAGGGAGAATCCATGTCTCATATATTCAACTGGGCTGATCATCTTTTTCCAAATAAAGATGATGAAATCCTTATTTTTATTATGAATTTTAATTAGAAATCATTTTCAGATAATCTAAGATAATTCTTGATGAAATCCCAATTTTCAATGAGGAGAGCTTTAGTAAGGTTTATAAAAATGACAAGTTCAATAATTCTATATTTATAAGAATTTTGGTAAATATTGAATACAATATGGGAAGGATTGGTAAAAATTTGTAACTCTTTCAGATACTGAATCCAATAAGCCATTGAATCCAATAAGCCACACTCGGTTTTAATAGGCATTGAAAATTAAGGCACATTATCAATAAAAATGTTAAAATTGGGCATGTTCTAAAACTTAGGGCACATCATCAATAAAAATGTTAAAATTGGGTTTCTAACACTATTTTGTTAGTGGAAGCAAGTATGGTTAAGGTTTAAAAGCTTTTACATCCAGATATAGAGTTCGAATTCCGAACTATTCAATTTTTTTGCAGATTACAGGAAATTTAGATTTTAAGTCCTAGAGAGAGTGATTTATTAATGCCAGACTACATAGACAAATGTTTACAGAGAATCTTCAACGTGCTGCAAGTAAATCTGGTTAGGAGTAGATCTTCATAAGACGGTTTAGATGATGCAGTTAGGCGTGGATCCTTATAAGATAGGTAGTATTGTTGGTTGTCGAGTCGTATATGTAATTTTTCTCATAAATGTAATAATAAATGTAATATCATAATAAATCAGTGTTATAAAAAAACACTATTTTATTAAGTTAATTAAGTGATTAAATTTGTAGTCTAAAATAAAACTCTACAAACAATAGGTAAGCAAGTGACTTTACCGTCTCTTAAACTATTGTCAAACTTTTATAAAAAAATAATTGCTGTCTCCTTTTTTTACTATTTTTTTGCAGATACAAATTCATGTATAAGAACACCAATAATGGTAACCATACATGTTTTCTTCCTCTTACATGTTGTTTTGTATTTAGGCCTGGGCATTCGGGTCCTCGAGTCGGGTTCGGGTCGGGTCTTGTCGGGTCCGGGTCCTTCGGGTCCTAAAAATTTGGACCCATATAGGTATCTATAATTTTTCGGGTCGGTTCTGGGTCGGGTCTTATCGGGTCGGGTCTATAATTTCAATTACCCGTATATTTCGGATCCGGGTATTTAGGACCTGAAAAGGACCCGAATACCCAAAATAGACCCGAATACCCAAAAATTACCCGAAGAACCGCTGAAATACCCGAAAATTATCAACAATCAGATCCAAAAACCCAAAAATACACGAAAATTTACCCAAATACCCGAATTTTATTTTCTGAAAATGTAAAATTTTACCCGAAACCTAAAATTAGACCCGAAAACCCGAACCCGAAAACCCGAACCCGAAAACCCGAACCCGAAAATTTTAAAAATACCCAAAATACCAAAAATATACCCAAACACCTAAATATAACTTATATATGCAAGAATTTGCGGGTACTACGGGTACCCGAACGAGTCTCGAGTAGGACCTGGACCAGACCCGAGACCCGATCCGAGACCCGCGGGTCCAAATAAAAAAGACCCAACAGATACTTTAGCATGGACCCGGACCTGGACCCGAACCTGTATTTTCGGGTCGGTTCCGGTTCGGGTCTCCGGGTCCGGGTAAAATGCCTAGGCCTATTTGTATTAAAAAAATGCATATTTTCTTATTTAATGACACTGTAGCCTAAAAGTTTGGTAAATGGAGGGATTATAAAACAAATTATTATTTAATGACGAATTTTTATTTTTAAATGTTCAATGAAGAATTTAATCCGGAGTATTTTTAAACTTAGTCAAATGTTTTTTATAGTAAAAAGCAAAAACTAAAAAAGGTCTCTAATCTTGTAATTTTTTTTTTTTTGGGGTTGCAAAGGACAAAAGGAAGCAAAAAAGCAATAAGACAAGTCAGCTCCATCATCTCAATAATCAATCCATTCATATCTCTTCCCATATTTGAAACTCAATTGGTGCCCTTTAGCTTTGTTATAGAGCCAACACTCGAGGTTTTTATAAACTAATGTCTCACCCAGGTCTTCTCTCCTCTCACTCTCACACCATCCTCCTCCTCGATTTCAAACCCTAGATCGAATCTCTCTTTCTCTCTCTCATCCCTGTGTTGTTGTTGCAGTTAGAAGAGCGATGGCGTTAGCATCCACCACGTTGCCAACGAAGAGCGGACTGTCTCTTTGGTGTCCCACTTCTCCATCTCTCGCTCGCCGTCTCCCCGCTCGGTTTTCCCCGATTGGTTCCAGAATCGCTTCCAGAGGCCTCGTCACCGCTTCCTTCGCCAACGAAAATCGCGAGTTAGTTATTCTTTTTTTTCTTTTCCGAATTTGGATCGACGAATTGAGTTTAGGATCGCGTAAAATTTCGTTTTGTTTTTTTTTTTGTTAGGTATGTGATAATTGGGGGAGGAAATGCAGCGGGTTATGCAGCTAGGACTTTTGTAGAAAATGGATTGGCTGATGGTCGCCTTTGTATTGTCACCAAAGAGGTAAAAATCAAATATCGATCCCTAACTGTTTTTCTTCTTCTTCAGAATTATTGGTTTTACTCTCTGTTTCGTTTGTTTGTCATCTTTTAGGCTTACGCACCTTATGAGAGACCTGCTTTGACAAAAGCTTACTTGTTCCCTCCTGAGAAGAAGCCTGCTCGTTTACCTGTAAGCTTAGCCTGTTATCACTGCTACATTAATGTTTGATGAGTGTGTTCTGACTTATGTTGATGTGCAGGGCTTTCACACTTGTGTTGGAGGTGGTGGAGAGAGGCAAACACCTGATTGGTACAAGGAGAAAGGGATTGAGGTTATTCTTATTCTGATGATACAATAGTTTTGAATTTTTTTTTCCCAATTTATGAGTCTCAAGTTTGTTTAACCGTCCAATTCTGGAATCTACATGGGTGGTTTTTGTTGTGATCGTCCTTGTGTTAATCTTTATACATTTTAATTTTAACAGATGATATATGAAGATCCAGTGACTGCAGCTGATTTTGAAAAGCGAACTCTCACAACAAACACTGGGAAGCAGTTAAGATACGGATCCCTGATTATCGCTACAGGGTGTACAGCCTCAAGGTGACTGAAGAAAGATTCTATTTGGCAATTGACTGATTAACAACACAAAGAAATGAGGACTTCTTATCCATTGATATATTTGATTTCTGTCGCAGGTTTCCAGATAAGATTGGTGGGAACTTGCCTGGCGTTCATTATATCCGGGAGGTTGCAGATGCTGATTCGCTAATATCATCTCTGGTAAGCTATAATTACACTCTTATCAGTTAATGTCATCTACTTGAAATTTCATCTGAAAACTCTGAAGTAGCCTTCTACTATATGATTCAGGGAAAGTCAAAGAAAATTGTCGTTGTTGGTGGTGGCTACATCGGCATGGAGGTTGCTGCTGCAGCTGTTGCATGGAACCTAGATACAACGGTTAGCATCCCTTTGACTCTATTCTTTAAACTGTGCTAGTAATGAAGTATATATTTTTAAGTCAGTTGATGAGTAATACAAAATTCCTTGAAGCGTTCAGATATTAGGCAAAACACACTCTTTTGCAATCTGCATGGTATACTAACTTACATCTATATTTCCCTGTGCAACAATAGATTGTATTCCCCGAAGATCAGCTTTTGCAAAGATTATTCACTCCTTCACTTGCTCAGAGATATGAAGATCTCTACCGTCAAAATGGTGTTAAGTTTGTCAAGGTTAGATATAAACCAACTATCAATGCCTCAGACTGAGAGCTTATGTTTTCCTTGCAAACCTACGTATTTCAGGAACACAGTGAGTAATTTTGTTCCCCTTTATGTTGAACAGGGCGCTTCCATAAATAACTTGGAAGCTGGTTCTGACGGACGTGTAACAGCTGTTAAACTTGCTGATGGATCTACAATTGAGGCAGACACGGTATAGTTACCTTTTCTTTTTCAAATGGTGCAACTTCAGCAACTTCTGATCAAATAGAAACGGTGAAGGTCAATGAAATCTATGGATCCGTACTTACAGGTTGTGATCGGAATTGGAGCTAAGCCTGCTATTGGCCCCTTTGAAACTTTGGCCATGAACAAATCTATTGGAGGAATTCAGGTAATTTCATCGCCAAACACCCGTATTTAGTTTCCAACATTAGTCAGTTTTCAAAGTTAAAAACTTCACGAGAAATTACATTAGTATTTTCTACAATCTAATGTCTGATAAGTGCTCATCTTCAAACCACAGGTTGATGGCTTGTTCAGGACAAGTACCCCTGGAATTTTCGCTATTGGAGATGTGGCAGCCTTCCCTTTGAAGGTACTTCTGCTAGATAAAACATGTTAAGCGACCAATCTTGTGTTCTGTAAACTCATCATGTTAAGTGTCTGATAAACAGATATATGATCGGATGACCCGAGTTGAGCATGTCGATCACGCCCGCCGTTCTGCACAACACTGCGTGAAATCTCTGCTCACTGCACACACTGACACGTAATCTTCTTCCTCCCTGGCATGATCTGTAGACTTCAGTGTATCTCTCTTAACAGATCTTCTTCACCTAACAGTTCATGTCTTGCACAAAACATTGCAGGTACGATTATCTCCCGTATTTCTACTCAAGAGTATTCGAGTATGAAGGCAGCTCTAGAAAAGTTTGGTGGCAGTTTTATGGGGATAATGGTAAATCTAGTTTATAGTACACAATCATCCAATTACTCAATCAATATTTCCACTGTGTCTAAACCACTGATTCATATTGGGCAGTGGGAGAAGCAGTTGAGGTTGGCAACTTCGACCCGAAAATCGCCACCTTCTGGATTGAATCTGGTACATCATACCTTCCACTTTTTCTCACTTCTACTTACAACTCTTAACCGTTGCAAATTTGCACAAATTAGCTAACTTTGATGAGTAATTATCGTATCACAGGCAGGTTGAAAGGTGTACTTGTGGAAAGTGGTTCTCCCGAGGTAAGAGACACTCCCTCATTAATGTTGACCATAGCAATTGCATATGAGTTTTGTTCATGTATTTATTTATATAAAAGACGCATATTGGGTTTAATAATCCCTTGCATTGTTGTGTATCTTTCTTTATACAGGAGTTTCAGCTTCTCCCAAAGCTAGCAAGAAGCCAACCAATTGTCGACAAGGCTAAACTGGCCAGCGCATCTTCAGTGGAAGAAGCCCTCCAGATTGCTGAAGCCGCTCTACAGAGTTAGAGATGGTTGATGGATTTTATAGCTTTCGGTTTCTGAGAAAAGCAAGTAACATCTTTATTCTCGGTGAGAGTATTCATCTTTCCATGAAAATGTTTTATAGAGAGCACTCTTGTCAATTATCCTCACGAATAAGTTATTGCCTCTTTTTGAGAAATCATATTTTGCTCCATAAATTCATATGATAGTAGTCTTGACTTCTAGCAAGTCACTGCTGTAGATGAACTTTATCATCTCTTTGTAAGAATATTCTTCTATTAAACAAATAAGCTCTGCTTTACTTTCAGCCAAAAGCCCGTTTTTCTGCAAGGTATATTATCTTCTTTCCCAGTTTAATGCTTCTTCAGAGAATACTTGTCTCGCCATCAAATAAGCCTTTTTCTTCTTAAGAGTAGCAGATCTTCTATGCAATTCTTTAGCTATCATTAGTGATAGCCCAACCTTACTGTCATCGCCCCATGCTGAATGCTCAGTCACCATCTTGAGAGTACCGACTGAGTAATCAGGCAGTTGAAAGCGAAGGCAAAATCAGAGAGTACTGATGAATTGCTCATTATACAAACACCAAGATCATGTCTTTAGAGAGTTGTTACAGAACTGATATCATACTCTCTATCCATACATCAGACTGGGCAAAATTTGGTAACTAATGAAAGTTTTACTTAATGGACCTTGTGCTAAGTCCATTTCCAACCTTGTGAAGAGAAGATTAGCACCAGAGACGGTTTGATCACAATTTCACACCACATTTTCTGGATATTTTGATTTTATCTTTTATATTAATACATTACAAAGAACACAAGCCAGATAAATTACTACCATCTATCTTAATCTCTCTAAAATATTTACCAGAATTTATCTCTGACACAAGTATGTCATTCTTTTATACAAACTTTGCTAACAAAACCAAAGAGAGGGATATAAATGTAAGTACACTTTTCATTCATCTACCAATTATGCAGATTTGGAAAACTAATGCCCACTTACCTAATAAATTAAACCAAAATGCAAACCTTTGGAATAATATCGTTCATAAAATAAAAAACGTAGGAAAAGGTAATAATAAAAATAGAAAGGATTAATAATCGACTGCCACACATCATTTGCAATTACAAAGTAGAAATTGCCACAGAAGAACACAGAAACACAAAAAAATATAAAGCTGGAAAACTCACACGCAAGTTCTCGCGAGTGATCTACACAGTCTTGTTTTCTTCTTTCGAAGAAAAACAAACGTATGGTTGGTATCAGTGACAGGGCGAGTGCGAAATTTCATAGTTACAAATTTGGTCATCTGCTGTGGCAGTCTATTGTTTGGTGTATAAAAAGGATGGACTTGTTCACAATTTGGAGTAAAAAAAAAGCATAGCCTTTTGGTTTTCTCTCATATTCTCTGCTCTGTTCTATAAAGAAAATGAATGTATGTACCTTATATGATTTGCAAAACACTATAAGATTAGTCCTTTTGATTTTTTAAGTATTCTAATTACTCATGGGTTTCTTTTTTCTCACACTTTCTGCAGAAAATGGTTGTGATGATGGATGTTTATGACGAGAGATCCAAGGCGAAAATCATTAGAACAGTTGCTGATTTCCATGGTAATTCACATCAGAACAATTTCTTTGTATCTTGTCTCGTTCTTGAGTTTTTTTTTTTGACAAGACAAAACTTCTTTTTCCTTGTTCATGAGTTCTTTTAATTGGAAAAACAAAGCTTTTTTATTACACACTGACTCTGTTTTTGGTATTCTTTGTGGGTTATGAATTAAAGACCTCAAAAAGTTGAATTTGATTTGTGTTTTACCATGCGTTTTCATTGCAAAATCAAAGCTTTTATTGACACACACACACAAGAGATTCTCTATGTCTTGCCCAAAAGCTTTTCTTTGCAAATAAGCTGAAAGCCAAAAAATCTTTGCTTTTGGTTTTAGGTGTTTCATCGATAACCATGGACTCAAAAGATGGGAAACTAACGGTGACTGGAGACTTTGACAGCAGGAAGATCCTCACAAAACTCGAAAGGAGATGGATCAATGCTGAAATGGCGACATTTGGACCTTACGATCCCAAAAAAGAAGCTGAAAAGGCTGCGGCTGCTGCTCTTGAAAAGAAGAGGATGGAAGAAAGGGAACGTGAGAGGTTAGAGGCTGCTTCCCGTGGAAACCAGAGTTGTTATTATGGTCCTACGCATCATCAGATTTGTGTCAGTGTACGCGATCAGGACCCTGGCTGCATAATCTCCTAATAGTTTCAAGTGAATAATAAAAAAAGAATATGGTAACTTCTAATATTTGTCAGGATCGGACACCGAACTACTGTTTCAACTGATGTTTAGATTTAGGTAATGGATGTTTTCATTTCACTATGTCAAATCACTATCTTATAAAGTCAAGAAGAAAAATAATCGCGATGAAATGTCTGAAGATGAATCTGACAGACGTTGAGAGAATTGTGCGTCACAAGAAACTTCCAGTCGCAGTTTCCAAATATATTCAAAACGTAATAATCATTTTCCATCAATGTATACTCATCGTCACATGATTCCGATTTTCCTTGTTTCTAAGAATGGATTAATAAGGCTATAAAGGATAGATGTGATTACACCAAGTGTGAACTTGCATTAAAAATATCTTTTTCTTTATAACGTCTAAAAACATCTCTCTTTTTTTTCTATGAGAATGATACATTAAGGAAAATGATAAAAAAAATTTTTGGCTCACTTCTTCATGAGGAGAATAACAGTGTGAGCTGCAATGCTTCTGTTTTCTCCAAGGCTATCAACTTTCTCATGTGTTTTGGCTTTCAAGTTCACAACCGAAGGATCTGCACCAAGAAGCTTGGACAGATTGGATCGGATCGTCTCCTTGTGTGGACTTATCTTTGGTCTCTGTAGAATCAATGTGGCGTCTAGGTTTCCTATCTCATACCCTGCCTCGTCCATGAGTCTCACCTGACACACATTAAAACAAAACAAAAACCTAGTTTTCAACATTAGTTCTGTCATAACTATGTAAACTCATTACAAGTGATCATCATTTAAGGTTTATTAGTTTGATCAAAAGAAAAAGAAGTTTATTAGCTTCCATGCAATCAACATTCACAGCCAATCAAAGCAAAGAAATTTCACTAGAAAGTAATCCAAAATAGTAAAAAGGGCAGGTAAGAAAGAAACCTTATTTCATACTTAAACATGAATCATATATGTTGCCTCCAAGGAAATGTCACAATATCATCAACTCAAGCAGTAGGAACTTACAATAAACTTGAGTTAATGCCAAGACTTTGAAAGATAAAATTCATGTATGCAAATGCAATATCGTACCAAAGAGTATTACAGAACCTTGATAGAAACTAACCAACAGCTAAGGAAACTAAGTCTAAGTAAATTCCATAAGGCATCCATCAATCAGTCTCTAAGCTTCTTGAATCAGACTATGTAATCTACATGAGGGAAACCTCTACACTAGTTGAACATCAAGGTGGAAGCTTACAGCTTCTTTGATGAAGACAGAGGAAGCAGCTCCTTTCCACTTAGGATCAGAGTCAGGGAAGATCTGACCTATATCAGGAAGACCTAACGCTCCCAAGATAGCATCCACCACACAATGTAGCAACACATCCCCTGCACACAAAACCCCAAACATCACCACACAAAGCTCAAAGCTCAATTTAATCTATTATATTCAAAAAGGTCAAAACTTTTTACCATCGGAGTGAGCTTCACAGCCTCTGTCGTGAGGGATATCAATCCCCCCGATGATTAGAGGGTACCCTGGCTCTAACCTATGCAGATCGAACCCGTGACCTACTCGAAACGGAAGTGTTCTCACTGATTTCTTCACTGGTTCATTGACTTCGACGGTCGAAGAAGCAGAGGAAGCTGAAACTGAAGAACGTTGGGATAAAGAGAGAGACTTTCCCCTCCGTGTAGAGAAACCGTAAACGCTGATCGTCGCTGCCGCCGGTGGGAGAAGGAAGGGCTTTTTGGTAATTTGAGAGTGAAACAGAGACGAAGAGGAAGAAGATAGATGAGTAGGAGTAGCCATAGCCATTTCTCTTCTCTGGTTTCAATCAGCAGCCACTCTGTTTTTTCTTAATTTTTTTAATAAAACTAAATACTTTAAGCTGGGCTTTAATGGGCTTCTTAATTGGATCTATAATATAGCCATTAAAAGTTTTGATGGGATCTTTGCCGTCGATCAAGTCGCGTTTCCACTAGACTTTACTATAAGCCGTGTCGTAGCGTATAATTCCTTATCACCTCTGTCGGCTTTAGGTTTTCTCCTCGCAGCTTTCCCTAAACTCCCTCGCCCCCACTCTTCTCTTCTTTTGAACTTCATCGAAACGGCGAACGGATTATCTATCTTCAATCGATCGCCAAAAATTAGGAAGAGAAGATGGCGGCGCCGGAAGCTCCAGTCAAGTACGTCGGAATCGTAAAGGAATCCGCCGCTTTTCGGCTAATGAAATCGATGGTGAATTCAGTTTATCATAAATGATCGTCAAATAAGCTTAGTGATTTCTCACAAACCTCCTAATGTTCGGGAATGATTGATATTATGTTACAGGGATGGGAAGAAGGAGAAGGACTTGGTAAAGACAAGCAAGGGATCAAAGGCTATGTCAGAGTCAAGAACAAACAAGACACTTCTGGTCCGATTCTTCTTCCTCTTTTTATTCATTCTCTCAAGTCTATGTATATTTATAGCTGTATATGTAGTGAACATTACAGATATAAAGCGCTCTGATTCCTTGAAAGTGAATTTAGATTTGAGGAAACTGAAATAGAGATCTGGTTTTACGTAAATGTGATGCATATGCTACAATGTATTGTATATAAGTAAGTAATAGGGGGCTAAAGATTTGAACTTTGGGGGGCAGGTGTTGGTGTTGATAAGCCGAACCCTTGGGCATTCGATACTACTCAGTTCGACAACATTCTCAAGAAACTCAAAGTTGTAATGGCCCTTGCCCTTTTGTTTATTTATACGCATCTTTTTGAAAAGAAGAAGTTGAACTGATTTTCGTCTTGTTCTTTTTTTTTGTTATTTCCAGCAAGCAGCACCTACCAAGAAAGATGATGGTAAATCTATTACTTCTTATTAACTTTTAGTTATTTTAAATTTATGTCACTCTAATTATCCTAATGACTTTTGTTTCTGTGGCATTTAGGAGCTGAAAGTGAAGACGAGGCTGCTGCCAAATCTGAGCCTGTCAAGTCAAAGGTTACTAAAGTTACTCGTCCACAAGGAAGGTTGTTTGATCTTTTCTCTTTTCTTATGTATCACCTTTAACAATTTTCTATCGCATTGTGTTTGAGTGTTTTTGTTATGTACTTTTAGGTATAAACGTAGAGAGAAGGGGAAACTTGTCAATTCATACTCTTCTAAAGATCTTGAAGGAATACTTGTAAGCTTTCTTTTCAACTATTTATCCCATTGTGTGATCCGCTCATGAACAAACGTCATGTTGATTAGCTTACTGATAACTTCTGCATATTGTTATTGTGCTATTGTCATTATTATAACAAAATGCATTTTGAGAGTGATAGTATAACTTGGTCTATATTGTTTTTACTGTTTTGTAGGTTAAGCGAACTGAGGAGCCTTCTCCTGTGGTTTGTGACATAGCCGATACCATGGAGATTGAAATTATATCTGAGGACCAGCATCCTGATGTTAAAGGTGTCTAGATTTTCATGAAATCTTGAAATGGTGCGACTTTTATTTCCTTGCGCTGAAAAATGTTCATTGATCTTTTGAACCGAACAGAACAGGAAATCGAAGAACCTTCTTCAGACTGGTGGGGATTTAAATCCGGGTTTGTCTCGGGTGGTCTACTTGGAGCTAAGTCTGGCAAAAAGAAATCGTCAAAGTCTAACGAGAGAAAAATGTTTTGTGAGGATGATCAAGAGAATCTCTACAACATGGTTCAGGTATGTGTCTGTCTCTTACTCTCGAGCTTTTCTTAGAAAAAAGCTATGAATAGGATATGTTAACGCTCAGGAAATGATGACTGCAGGATAAAGCCACGGCTGGAAAACAAGGACTGGGTATCAAGGACCGACCAAAGAAAATAGCTGGGGTTCGTTACCAAGGAAAGAAAACATCTTTTGATAACAGTGATGATGATACTGATGAAGAGGAAGAAGAGGAAGAAGATAGTGAAGAAGATGATGACAAGGACTCTGATATTGAAAATTCTCTCCCGGCAAAAAGGAAGCGTGAAGAAAGTGAAAAAGAAGATGACAAAGTCTCTGTTATCGATAACTCTCTCCCAGCAAAAAAGAAGCGCAATGAAAATATTGAACCCAAAATCAAGTTGAAGAGCCTGTGCAAGCAGATTCTTAAAAAGGTATGTTGTGAATTTTTTTTGTTTTGTTTTAACAGTCATTGTCTTTCTTCTATAACATCTCTCACACGTATTGTCTTTCATTCTCAGAACGCTGGTAGTGGTAGATCCATGAAGCTGAAACAGCTTAAATCTCTGATTGATGAACAAGCACCATCAGTCCTCTCGGAGTTCTCTTCAAGGAAAGATGCCATTGCTTACTTGAAACTTAAGGTAATACTAAGCTTAGCTTACCTTATGCCAAATCTTTCATGTTGTGCCTACCTACGCTGAGCTGTGAAATTAATGGGATGTGAAATTCAACTTTTAACTGATGTTGGACCCTGATCTCTTTGTTGCAGCTGGAGCGTAGTGGGAAGTTTGTTGTGGAGGGAAAGAAGATCAGTCTTATAGCAAAAAATAAGTGATGACAATTACCATTTATACCTGCATAGGACAGTGGAGATTAGGACAAGTTTTGTTACTGAATCATCACCATGCCACCATATGTATAACAAATACATCTTTTTGAAATTTTGATTGTGTTTTGTAATTTATTCATACATTCCGAGTGTTCGCATAAAACTTTACCATAATGTTTAAATCTCTTTTATTTAAATGCAGATATAGAACAAAGTCTCCTCTATTGTGTTTGTAGAAATTTACATGTTGGTGTATGAAGTGTTATATGTATTTGCCCTGCACGATCTTGGTAGCTATATATTTCCCGAGATAGTTATAGCCATGGCAATATAGAGCTTCTATTTCGGCTCTCTTACCAGTTTCAACCATCAGTGACAACTCTTCTCTGTAATTTTCCTGAGACGCAAAGAAGAGAAGTTAGGGTTGGGTTCGTCGACTATAGATTTGAATCTCAAGAGTTTCATTCAATCAACATTTTTGGCTTTACCTGCAATATTTTGGAGGACAATAAGCTTTTAGCAATCTGCGAGTCCTTTGCCTTTAGAGGAACCAAAGACTCTTCTGGTATCAGGCTAAGATCATCTCCACGCAGCCCAATCCACTTCACATTGCAAGCTAACAAACAAACTAAAAACTATCATTAAGGAGACATGATGATTAGAGCATTACATCATACTTCCAATTGCAGTCTTTTTTTACCATATCTGTAAGCTTCAAGACCCATTCCTATGCTTCCAAACTTGAATGTGCATAGAATAGCTAACCCAGCTGGATTCCTATACAATTGTTATCAGACAGACTTCTCAGTTTTAAACTTCTCTAAACAAAGAGAAGAATGTTTATTTTTTCAAGCTCACCAATCTACTAGAGCAAGAATTGGCAGATCAGGAAATGTTTTGCTAATCCGGTGAAGGAAGAACCTAAACCATTCAACATCCAAGCTATTCAATATCAATGACTACATCAACCATAAATGGTTTTGTTATCTGACTTATAGATTTGTTGTTGACCTTGTGGCAATATCTGGATACCCTTTGGCAGTGATGAAAACACAAGGAATGTGATTGAACACACGATCCTCCACAAGCCGATGAAATATCGCATGCTGATTTAGCAGATCTAATCAGTGGCTTATATGGATAATATTATCTTGTCTCATGTCTGTCCTTGATTGGGTAAAAGAATATACCTTTTCAACAAGAATGATGTAGCGAGCATCGCTTGTCATGATGGTGTTGTCTAGCAAATTCAAGTCTCCTGATATAGCAAAACCTGAAGAACCACAGGCTGAACAATCCACAGGTTCTTTACCTGGTTCCTGCTTGTGCAAATGGGCAGAGATGACAAAACAAGCAAGAAACAGAGAGAGAGAGACATGATTAGTGTTGTTACTCACTTGTAAAGATAACCTTCCAGCAACAAGGCCTCTGGTAGAAGCCATAATCCCAAGACTGTATCTACTGCAACGTAAAAGTGCTACCACATCTACACAAAACAATAACACATCTCAATCCGCTTCAGATAAAAACACTTTTAAATAAAATCATGACAATAAATGACCTTGGACGCTTCTGTTAACTTCAATCTGAGAAGAAAACAAGTCAGGAGAATCACAAAGCAGTTTATAGAAGAGCTCTCTTTGTGTAACTCGTTTTTCTTGAAGCAGAATCTGAAAGCACATCTCCATAACTTTCCACACTACAACGCAAACATAAACGTAACTGATAATGATTTCAAATCAATAAAGCAGAAAGGAATAACAGAAGAGTAGATTACCTCTCACAAAAGCTTTGGCTGTTTTAGCATTGGTCAAGGAACTTTTAGTAAAAGAAGAAGAGAGGAATACGTAAGAAACATCCGTGAGAACGCCTTGGTTTACACAACTATTGCTTCTCTTCCTATTAATCTAAACACAGAGATTTTAGAGATCGCTAAACTAAAAATTTCGGAAATCGGATTCAGGAGGAGGCCGAAGATTAGAGTATATACCAGAGAGAGATCAGAGATGGATGGATCTGGAGATTTCAGAGCCCGGAGGAGATTGAGTACAGATACTTCGATTCTAGCACGAGCCTGTGTTAACAAACAGTCTTTTAATCTCAAAAATCGGAACCACGAGAGACTCGAGAAATCACGAATTCGATAAATCGACTTACTTCGTGAGGAGGAAGAATATCAGCGTAAGATGTATTTTGATCGGAGAAGAACTTCATCGATGATAGTCCGCCTGAATCGTCCTCCATTTTCTACAGATCTGCAGTGAATCTGATTTGAATTTTGTTGGGAAGAGAAGGCGCGCGATGTTTTTAGCTTCCAAATTGAATTACGTAATCACGAACAGCGTTTTCTAGACTGTATGCCGTTTCCATCTGAAGAAACTGGCATGCTGTTCATGGATATATTGCTCCAAAGATATTTTCCTACATTTTGATCAAACGAAAATTTATAACCCAAAGTTGTATAAGCTGATTATATTAAACGATATCCCCTATATATTAATTGAGAAACATTTGAAAAGATATAACCTCAAGTTTGTATTAATTAAAAAGTAACATTGCTTAGTTGTCAATCAATTAGCATACCAATTAAACTGACGTGGCAGCTTTAGGTTCAACTGAAATTTGCTAGGGAAAAATAATTAGAGACGCATATAACGCATGTAACATAGTTTATATATTTATATATATCGCACGCATGTAATGGAAGAAAAGGAAAATATACGATTTGATAACGATTTGCATATATTAACTATAATAACTTCATTCCTTTTAATTTATGGAAGTGTATATGTAAAATGGAAATTACTTTGTGACC